CTAGTCCTCATTTCAATTACAGCTGAAATGTAATTCTGGATTTTTTGTTGCTGCTGTTCTGGATTGGTTTTTTTCCCCTGAAGTTTACAAAAAGAACTTGAGAAAAAGTTCTCAGCTTTTATGCTACCTTCCAGTTCAGAGATAAATTGAGATATAGGCATGTGAAATAATGTATTCCAAATTATATTAGTAAGTGTGATATCAGCTAGAAAGAACAACCCAAGGAAGTTATACATCTATTTGTCTACATACAGTTTTGGGAGGGGTTTTTGTCTGTTTGTTTAAAAGGAATCAACTGCAAGGCATTTCAACGCATGACAATACCTAGTGACATGAAGTGAGGGTGCTCAGCATCTTCCACAATTCTGTCCCGGGAATATTAGACAACAGTGATAGAAAACAACCTTGCTGTAATTTAGTAAGACATACAGAAGCCACCTGTTTCACATCACATGGGCACACCATACAAACAGTCCCCGACTTCCCCCATCAGGAGGATTCCCGGTTGTATTTAAAATTGCTAAACCTATTTAAAAAAAAAAAAAATTGGACTTCCGATACACTGTAGGAATTGTCTTATTTAAACAAAGTACACCACAAAGTGTCATAGTGTTCTACTAAGTATAAGCAAAATAACAACCCATTTTAAGGCTCTGACCTGAGACATAAGGATGGATACATTTAAAAACTTTTATGATCATTTCACCCTCTATCACTGCCCTAGGCACTATTATATGCCTAGAATCAAAATACTCTGACTGCTAAAAATTAACCAGACAAAAGGATCAAAATAGCAAAACAGAGCTCTGCAGTCCTTTTTAGCCTCTGTTCACGTTTTGGTTGTAGATACTAATTTATCATTCAACTACAATTTTTTCTAAAGAAGGACAACATCAAGAGAAAGCTTTGAAAATCCTACTTAGACACAACTCCACACTGGCTTCTTGACTTTGTAAGAATATACACTATTCTTATCTGTTTCACCACCCACTATGCTTTCCATTGAAAGGGGAGAAAAAAAAAGAAAGAGGGTCTTGATTCAGACTTTCACCAGAAATCCCCTTCCAGACAACAGAAACTAGGAAGCCATGAAGGACAAGAAAAAGAAAGAGCAAGTCACCTTCAACACCAATACTCATTTAGCTCACACCACCACCAAACAAGAACACTTCAGAAGAAAAAGGTTAAAAATAAAGAAAAAGCAAATGTTGTGGAATAAAAACAGACAAGATCCTGGTCTTCCCAAAATATCTATTCAGAAAATTCACCCATGCCTTGAATGTTTGGTATTATTTTGTCCTACAATGCAAAACAATGTTGTGGAAGAGTAATTTTGATTCATGGTCATGAAAACTGTTTGCAGAATAATATCTGATCATTTCTACTTCCAAATAAAAATTCAGTAGCATTTAAATCTATGTATATTTAAAGATGTCATTGTCAGACAAAACTTCATCGTGTATTTATTTACATACATGTAAATGTGTACATCTTGAGATCAAAGAACTGATGGCCTAGTACATGCCAGTACACTACAAAACCAGGCCAGTAACAACAGTGGCATTTGGCATGCCTGCATCCTTGAGTAAGATAGTTCAAAGTTGTTTCTGTAAGTCCATACAGGATGTCAGAGGACTAAAGGAAGGACTGGAAGAAGTTCTTGCAAGAATCAGCTACATCTGGCACTATACTACAGATAGGGTAAGAACTAGAGTTACAGTAAATGAGTGGTAAGATGTGAGCTGGTGAAAAACAGCTGTCTGAGGTCAAGCGGCATGTTCAACAGCATTCCCAAGCCTTGCTGCGTATTTCTTTTTAACAGGCAGAGCTGATTTCCGACTCAAATACCAAAATCAACAGCTTAAGCTGGTGCAGTTATGGATTTTCTGAAGTGGTACATCAGGTCTGCTTTTCTTTGTCCATTAATGCTTCTTGACTGCTATTCTATACACTTTGAAATGCTTCTAAACTAATTTCAGGGCATATACAGTTCACCTAACATTTCTTCTTTGATAAAGCATTGGCCATTTGGGGAACCCAAAAGTTCGAGTGGGATTCCATGATAGTGGAATTAGTCAGTGTCAGAGCAGTCACTTCTCTAAAGAGACATGAAATTAATTATTTTAAAGCACTTAGCATAAAATGAATTTTCTTTCTGCAGCTAGCTATACAAGCTTAGTGGATGTATTCCACAATCTTGAGAGCCAGGAACATATTTCAGGTCTACTTAGTAGCTTGATTAACACTCTATTCAAGGTGATAACACCCAGCCTCTAGCTTTAAGATTAATTTAGGTTTTTATTCCACAATCCGATTTTTCTCGCTGATGTGAGAATTACTGAAACATAGCATGTAATCTTTTACTGAACTCTGTAGGGGGGAAAAAAAAGCTTGATATACACTGTGAAAAAAATGTTGTCCCAAAACACACAGGTTTACCACTTCCAGACCACAGAATTACCAACAACAGGTTCACAGTTGGTATTTCCCAAGCTAAACCTACAGTCAGCAAGCTTTCAAATAGAAAAGAAAGGACAAAGCATACTTTCCTTTAGCACCGTGTGCTCCAAGAACAAAAGGGCCTCTTACCACACATCCACCACACCAGTGTTTCGGATGTTTTGGGGGGTCTGGAATCTTTGTGGGTTGTTTTGCAAATAGAACACATGAAAACGTAGAAAATACTCAGATTCCCAACACACTGAGCTGCACTTCAGAGTCCTGGAAAAGCGTATGAGCATCTTATGCTGAACACAAAATAAAATCACTCAAACAGAAATGTATCTTTGTAGATGCAATCCACAGCTCAAGCTTGTTTGGTCTAAGAATGTATCCTATCGCACATTTCTACAATTGAGGGGGTCGCACTGCAATATTCAGAACCTTATCTACAACATACTATTACTTCAAGCTACCATGAACACTTTCCATCCTTTCCGTGTGAAACAAAACACTACACTAGAAAAGGAGATCAAGTTCAAGACAAAGTTTTGGTTTTATAGACAGACCACCAACAGGTCATCCTGGAATGTGTGTTACAAGACTTTTACTTCCAAAAGCAAAATAAATCTAGAATTACGTATTCAAAGAAGCATGCGTTGTAAAGCAGTAGCAAACACATAGGTAAAAAAATAAGCAAGCAACCTAGACTCAGCTCATTTTTCTAAACCTCCCCCCATTCCAAGACAAAATACAGGCTTGAAGAACGAGAATTTAAAAAAAAAAAGAAAAACAAAAGAAAAACAAAAAACCCTGGCTGCAACCGAATGAAGAAAAACCTACATTTTGAGAGCTGGCTAGTCTGAGTAATTAGCTGATCACTAAGTGCTATGCTTTGTCATTTCATTGATCTTTTCAGGCTCAGTCATTTTCTAATAGCTGGAAGAATTAACAGCTACTTCTACACAGAAACTGGTTTAAAACCGCACTGACAACTCGCATAAATGGCATTTCGTAAGAGAAATCATCCATTAAACACAGAACTTGAACACTAATACAAATAGCTCCTTTAGCACTCACACCCTCAAAACTAAAATGCATTGAAGAAGTGACAAAGTTAAATATATGGGTCAAGCATGGTGCTGAATATCAGAGAGGTATATCATAACAAACTTCATAAATGCCTCGCTTTGTCGGACTGCTCGAAAAAAAATGCACAAATGTTACAGTAACATTTTAACATATTGTATTTTAACATATTACAGGATTTCACGCCCTTTTCCCAGATCTCAGCACCACACACTAGCAAGATTGCCTCCTAGGGACTTACACTGACAACACCTGCTATGAACGTAAGCTGAATCGATTAAGGGAGTTTACCTAGTCCAATACCCTGTCTCAGACATATGGACAGCTTAAGACACTTCAGACTAAGGTACAGGAAGCCTCATAAATAGGCAATTACATAATAATATGCCCACACAGGGAGTTTCTTCCTAACTGCAAGCACTTAGTGGTTGGCTATGCCCTGAAGCATAAAAATTCGTATCTGCATTAAAACCAGTAAATCTACAATGTAACAATCCAAATATATTATTTATATGCCTATCTAATCTCCACTTAAAACAATACTTTTCTCAACAGTATCTCCAGAAATCAAGGTCCACAAGCTAATTATGCTTTCTGCATTGAAAGAAACAATACAACTCTCAGTCAGCACAGACCTTGCTGAGCCCTGTTACGCATTACTGATCTTTTACTCAAGTGCTCATAGAAATATGCCCCTAGACAACTCTTTAAGGCTGTATTTGTAAGGCATTCTCTCTGTTTACAAAACTGCATAAATAAAAAAATAAGAGAGTTTGGACCCGCAAAATAATGAAGTCTACTATCAGCTTTGCTTTCCAAACACAGCTGATCAAGATTGGTTGGACAACTCCCAGGCAGATTGAAAGAACTATGAAAGGAAAGAGCTTGCTGAACATACCTTCTTCCAATATATATTAATTTCCCCAAAAAGTTCTTTCTGTACCTCTAATTTGCTCCAGGCCAGTAAAACATAAAATAGGAATTGTTGATATGGGACCCTATGGGACCCTATATGAGTATTTACACATGAAAGCATGAAAACACGCTTAAAAAACTTTCATTTCTTAAAAGTGTGTAAATTTCAACATTGCTAACTAGAAGACGTGAATGTATTTTTAAAAGCATTTTCAGGGTGTGCCTTTAGCCAACGAAACAGCTAAGAATTCCTGCTAATATTTGCAACCTTTAAAAAAATTTCCACAGTTCTAAAAACCTGTTTTGAAGCAGCATGTTATTTACCCAGAGATGCAACCAGGTATCATGACTCACTGCACAATTTTGTTCTCTACTGTTAATTTTTCTCCTATATATACACTCTGCAGGAAGAGGTAGCTTCTCCCTTCGTTCTCTTCCACCGCACCTTCCTATCAGCATCATACTTGATTTTAACTTTTCTTCCCTTGAGTAGTTTTCCCTGTGGCTACAGGTTCCGACCAGCGGTAAAGCTTGCCTTTAAAAGTCACTTCACTTACCTTGTCTCTGGATTATAGCCCAGTATGTAGAAAAATGAATCCACTCGGGCTTTAAACTCTCTAGCAGCAAATATGTCAGAGAAATGGGAGATATTACACTTCCCTCTGAAAGAAAGAGGGAAAACAGTATTAGAACTCTACCTTGAGTAACAGCTATTTTAATTAAGTGCCACTGCAATCTGTGTATAAGCCACAGACATCCTTGTGTTCTCATAAATGTCTAAAACTTCATAAACATAACCCTGTTGTAACAAATAACCATGCAGATTCTTCCCATGGTGGAAAGGGAAGAAAATCCAGTTACAATGTCTCAGATGGTGTCCTACAAACATTCGTTAATTCTCATTCAGACAGCACACAGTCCTTAGAAGCCCAAATTTAATCAGACTAATGAACAATATCTACCCTAGAAATACAATCCTGAAAACGTCTTATTTTCAAAGTTTTTACAGTCCTATTATACTTACATCGTTAAGGAAGCTTCAAAAATTCTGCTATTCATATTATTTGGGAAGTCAGCTTTTTATTTAGAAAGCTAAATAAAACTTCACTTTAGTAACACTTCCAAAAAAAAGTTACGATTAGCAAGACTGCAATCCTAACAATGCAAATTCCAAACACACACAAGTTTCTTCCTTCTACTTTCATTACAAGAGTAAAACACAGACATTTAAAAAAAAAGAGAGAGAAAAGAGAAAAGAGGATTTATAAGCTTGTTCTACAACAGATTGTTAATAATTTTTTCCAATATAGTTTGTTGATGAAGTCATTATCCTTAAGGATGAGCATTAAGACTAGCTGTAAGGAGTTGCATCTCATTTCCTCAAGGGTTTGTTGGACTGTTAATGTTCAACAGCTGCTCGTGTTTTGTCATTCAATGCATTGCAGTTTACTGCCACCAAGTAAATCAGATCAGAAGCGGACAGAGACAAACGGGCCAGACAGCCAAAGAGTTAGTGCTTTTTATCTAAACCTGATTCAGTGCAATAAACAAAGCATGAGATTTTGCTCTTTTTCAGTATGTCAAGCTTTCTAGTATTAATACAGATAGCACCTCTTCTCACTTGTATTTACTGAATAGTATTTGCTATTACAAATAAGCTGCTATGGGGCTTATTTAACATTGCAAAAAGGTTTGCCAGTCTTGGTTAAAATTGAGTGAAAAGTGCTATTGCCGCCAGTGCACCAAGATGAATAATTATTTTGCCTGTAATAATACAGGATCTGTTTGCCTAGTCTTCTCAGCAGTGCTTAAAAGCACTGCATACTTGAAAAACTGCACCAGAAAGTTGAAATGCTAAGCTTGCTTCCCTTCCTAATCTTTTCATGGTAAAGCACTTCAGAAAGCCTTACCAATCAACAGCCACTAAGGATTTTGCCTTGTAACACGAACTCTCCGATACACGACATCAACTACGACAGGGGAGGAAAATACACACCAGAAGGATGAAGGATGAATTAAGTTGCTGACTGTTCCAAAACAAAATCAATACGGCTGTCCTGTGAGCTGAGGCTGCATAATTGTCCCTATGATTGCCTAATTCCCAGCCAATTGCCTTTCTGGCAAAGGACAAAGCAACACTGGATTTTGCACAGGTCATGCCAGGTTGCAATGGAACATTAACAAGGTCCGTAATTGAGACGTCACACAGAAATACTGAAAGACAAACTTGTTCACTAATATTTATTTCATCTCCGGTGGCTGAAGCTACTTTCCCAGCTTAGTCATTTAGAAAGAAAGAAAATGAGAAGGGGTATTTGTTTTGATATTTCACATTAAATTCACATTTTAAAAGTATTTTGGGGAAAAATATTTCGTTTCCTTTCAATAATTCATCTGACAGTTAATAAGTGTTTTCCAGATAAACTTGTATTATCTACATTCAGGAAAGCAGCACATCTTGTTCATAGCATTTCAGACAAGTAGTACTACATATTACCACAAAGATTTACCATATAGGTAAAAATGACGTAACTTTTATTACACTCTTCTACAGGGATCTACAAGTATCCTCTAGTTAAACTTTTCCACTGGTTAGAGCAGAAGATTGGTAGTTACAATCACTGATTTTATTTCCCAGTTTGTCATCAATTCATTGTATGACCAGAGCCATTTGCTTGCAGAGAGCAGAGAAATAATCTCATAGTATAATAAATTAGAATTTCATGTTAACCCTCCTTTCATGCATCACGATACATTCTGCCTACTCTATGTTCTCAAACTGTAAGAACATCATGTGCAATTACCCTTATGTTCCTCTTGTACACTGAAAATTACCGACATGTATTAATCACAATTTGCTAGAAATGAAATGAGCAAAAATATAATCTTTATCCTGCAAAAGTATATTCTGTCAATTATCAGCATCTTTAGATACTATCTACAAGCCTGTAAGAATTATCAAAAGTATGAACATTCCAGAACACAACAAAACAGTGAAACCATATGCCAAAGAGAAACAGGAGAGTGATCTGAAAGGTGCCCATGGTATGCACTTCCAAACAAAAAGAAGGCAGATAACACAAGACAGGTTGAGAAAGTGATCAGTTTGGTCTTTCATCAGCCTCCACTCTTTTTGGAAGGGGAAAAGAGAAGGTTATTTTTCAAGATTGCTTGGTATACACATATATTCCATTTTTATCTTTTCTTTAAAGAAGAAAACAGAAAGGATGTAGAAGAGAAGTTAAAATACTCCCAGGGAAATTTCCATACACATAGTTCAGTTCCTCTCTGTTTAAGCAGACAGATTTCCAAGATCTGTTCCATCAAGACAGCCAACCTCCTGCTAGCTTGTTTCTAAGCATGCTGATTTAAAATTGGAAGGCAACCTTCTGTAACTCAGCAAAGGCACTGTGGAATTTCATGAGATTATAGTACACCACTGGAATTTTCCAAGTTTATAAAAAAGTGTAATATGTAAATCAAAGACTTCTTCCCACCCTTATAACAGAAGTTGCAGCTAGTTTGTCTTGAAGTAAGTGGCTTCAGCAAAGTGACTCTGAACAAAAAGTGTCTCCAGATGCTTCTTGTGAAACACCACCTGAGCATTATTATCAGGGAGATTATTCAATTTGCATTTTGACAATATCCATGCATGTTTGGCATGTTGAAAATCTGCTGGAAAAATAATGCCTCGGTGTTTCTATTTGAGAACATTTTTAAGTAACGGTGTATCCCCTCAGCCTAGTCAAAGGTTAGCCGCTTAAGTTAAAAACTTACTGGGTAAAGAGAGCAGCAACCTCCATGGAAGGGCAGATATTACAGAGAACAATCCAGGGGTCCATTACCTCCTGTCTGTACAGCTAGTTTTTAATGGAGCTCTTAGCTGAGCTGCAACAATGACAAATGCCTCAGAGCCAAAGCCTTTAACGCAATTTAATCAGAGCAACATACTAACAGTCACTTTACTAGGAGACGCTATTGTTAATAGTGAAATCAAACACGGGGGAGGGAAGGGTAGTATTTCTGCGGGAACTAGCAATAACCTAAATTGGCAATGATGGGAAACAATATCTTCTGAGCAACATTGATTAACTGAGATTAAAACGAGACTGTAGAATTACAGCTTCTTTTTGAATCAGAACAGATAACACAAGTTAATTACTGTAGGAGATGAGGAGAAAGCTGAGCAGTATGCTAATGAACCCCACACAAACCCAGAAAAAGCACCTCTTCTCAATAAGGTTTTTCTCATCCACCTCTGAGACACTGCACCATGTCTTCTCTAACTTACCTGAGGGCAGCAGCGTGGTAAGTGTCAACATAATCTGAAATGAAGAGCTCTCGATTCTTGATAACTGGATCTGTAATAACAAGCTCTCGTCCAGAGTCTGCCAGAAAGCAAAAACACAAACAAAAAAACCACCAACACATTAGCTGTAGTCGGAAAGCATCTACCATTGCCATTTTGCAGGTATTTTTTACAGGTCAAAGTTTGAGGATGTTTCTTAGATACACACTCCTCAGTGTTAAGACGACAAACATTCAGATTGCTTACATGGCCTGTAAGGTATGGAAATAACGTGACACCCATTTTTACACATGAATTCTCCCTTGCCACGTCTAAAGAAACAGATTTTAGGGGTACTGGATGACACATCTTATCCACTGACCACGAGAAGTGGTCACTCCTAGGTGAAAGGAACTAGGCAAATTAATTTATCACTGACTTTTAGTTTCCAGGTTAAGGTTTTGGTTGTTTTGCATATTTCATCTCAAATCTTCAACAAAATCTTGACAGTACTAACTGCTTAGTGCTCTGGCTTTGAGATAAATATTGATATTCATGTTCAAATACAGAAAATTCTCAGTGTTAACGAAAAACTGGAAGACAACTTTCTCCATGACTTCTTTTTAATACCTTTGAAGAACACAGAAAAATACTTCTTCACATGCACAAGAGTGTGACACAAAAAAGCAGCCATGTTATCAAAAATGCTCACTTTTTGACACTGTGCCTATAATCCCGTTGTTAGAAGTTTCAAATACAGTAGTAAGAGAAAGTTAGATTTGTGCAGCTTTTGCTAAAAGCACACGCAAAATGTCCTTAATGCCTGCAAAAAGGAGAATGTACGCTCAACTTTGTACTGTCATGCACCAAAAAGTTGCTCTGTTCCATATTTCAAGCATCAACTTTTATCACTACAATTCACCTTGGAGTATCTTCAGAATTTTAAGAGTTACCTCAAGGGAATTTACTGGTAAGAATAGAAGCAAATGTTATGTTTCCCCTACAGGCAAGAGATAAATGACACTGGAATATGTACTAAAGTTTCTTCTGCTTCTATTAAACCCAAGATCACACTTGTTTTTGCAAAAAGAAAAGGGGAAACTCAGCTACGAGTGCTTCAGTTAGATCACTTACTGCAATATTAATCACAGTGAGTATTCATACATGCAAGGTAGTATGAATGTAAAAAATGTAGTTCTCATGACACTATGGCAGAATCACAAAAAATAGAAGAGATTCACAATTTCTTCAGACAACTTGGTCTTCAGCCAGTTAGGTATTAGTACACTGTCCAGAAGGCCTGCAAAGGATCCAATGTTGGTTTTCTTTCCTACTCTCTCTTAAGGCATTAGTATAATATAGCACAGTATTTAAACCATACCTGAAATGCATCTGATTATAGCTATGGTTACGGGACATACGCTAGTTAGAACAAACAAGGCAGGTAAGAAACACTATCGTCTATCTTCTAATATATTATTTTCATCAACAGTCCTTGCTTCATATCCCTATGCAAAAGTGTTCTTGCTTTCTGGACTGTTAAAACTTAAAATTCAGAGTACAAGTAAAGGCCTTACTCTACAGAGCCTAACTTACCATTCTCATTGTGTCTGTCCTGAACCAAATGCTGATAGACTGAATCTGGGACTTCAGACTGGCGATAGTACCATTTGACATTCATAAGGAGGTGGTCCCGTTTACTCTGAAAAAGAAGGTCTAAAGGCATTACTAAAAAGGAAATCAGACCACATCTGACACAATCTTCTAAAGTATAATACTTGTTTTCACACTGAGGAAAGCCTAAGGTAAGACCCAAAAGGGAGGAAAACATATTTCTATGACAATGAAACAAGGGCAATGTGCTAACGATTGACTTTCAAACTAGACAAAGGCAAAAAGAACCTACTGCATCATCATGCAGTTGGATCTCTGTATCTGACCAGCAAATACTAATGTATTCACTCACAAAAAACTAACCCAAGAAAAGAAGAGGCAGGGATCAGAAAAGGACTGGTATTTTTGGCCTCAGGCAGCATGATCTTAGTCTGCTAATTTCTACAAACAAAAAGTATTTATGGCCAAACATGGGAAAAAAAAAAGAATACCAACAGCAACATAATTCAATGCAACCATTCTTAACAGTTGTAACCAAGAGATACCAGATTTCCCCCCCCCCCAAGGACAGATGGATTCAGACATAATCGTAGATGTTCTTTATTACACTCCTTTATACAAAAGAATAGGATGCTGCAAAAGAATAGGCTCTGACTGCTCACGTACCTCACAAAACCAACAGCAAAATTTACACAAAACTGTCTTCCTCAAGTGCTCCTTTTTCATTTGAGAATCCAGCTACCAGTTTGTTCCTTCTTAGAAGGAAACTGAAGCCTAAACACCACTTAAAAAGAGAATTTTTAGATCAAGTTATTACAGACTCTCTGCTTCAGTTTATCTTTGAAACCCTTGGTAGTCAATTCTTTCTACCGCTCCAAAACACTTGAAGAAAGAGAGGAAGCCTAAAGGGAAATGAACATTCTTTTGGAATGAGGCAACTGCAAGCGCCGTTTGTTTTTTCTGGACTACAGTTCTCCAGACCCTTCTAAGACAGCTCTTAAAACATTTACATTTAAAAATTTAATCACAGGTTACTGGAACAGAAAATTCTTCTCGTCTCTCCTGTTCACATCAGCCTAGTTGTTACAGCAATTTCCACGCTTTCTGCTTAATAAACAACATCAAAATCTTTCCATTAAATGCACTTCTTGAAGCCTTTGATTAAAAACACATGTAATACCAAAAAAAAACTGCTAGTGGCAGCATTGTGCCAGAAAAAAGTTTAACTAATCCACCACGACCACATGCGCTCTATGTACTTGAATGCCTCAAAAAACATTCAAAAACATACTAAGCATACTTGTGCTGTGCACGAGAAACCTGAACCCACTTTAAAAAAAAAAAACAAACAAACAGCACACATTTGCAGGCAAAGACAAGAAGCTTGTCTAATGAATGAAAAATATCAAAAGGACAAAGTCTGAGAGGCAACACTGATTTCTGCTGCCTGCTGTTCAAAAAAGGTGGTTGCAGACTTTTCTGATCTCCTGAAACGAAGATCTGTGCATCACAGTCTTTACAAATAGTTTCTCTGAATTCTGAAGACGAAAAAGCATGTAAATGTTCTGTTACCCTCTCGCTAAGAGTTCATAAATTCTATTAGCGCTAACAAGAACTGCATGCAACAGTGACAGGAAACATTAACCCAGCATTTCTCTGCAAATTCTCTTTGCATTTCTTAGTTGAGAGGAAAAAGCAGCCCTCTTGTGTTACACAAAGCCCTGAGAGGACACTCAGAAAGCATCACTCTGTGGCACTAAAACTACTCATTTATATGTACGGACAGTTTACAACAAGCATCAAAAGCTAATGCTTCCATTTTCTTGCTTAGTTCCACTAAAGTCGGGTGTCTTTCGACTAGTACAACACTCCAAGGAGCACTGTGAAGGAGGCATAAGTACACACATATATGCAATCGTGAAGGAGGACTACAAAATACAGTATTGAATTTTGCTGGTGGCGGTGTTTTTGAATAGCAAATTACATTGGGGAGGAGGAGAAGGACTAGAAATCTACACTGTGCTCTGGCAGGGATGGTGCTTCCAAATGCTCATCTACAAAGCGAATCATCAAAAGTCTGAACAACAACCAGTAGCCAGTGGAGAGATCTGAGAAAAGAAAACAAATTACTGTATCTTGATAAAAAGAAGAGCTAGTTATGGAGAGGACAGAGGTAGCAAATGATGTATGAATGGATTCAACCTCATACGTAACCTTACAGCAATTCTGCTACCAGGGGACAGTTTTGCAGAAAGAACTCTGGAAGCGTAACAGTTTTGTGTGAAGGTATATCCTTTGCTTATGCACACGTTGAGATTATATTACAACAAAAAGGGAAGGATCAAAACTGTCAAATATTTTCATTGCCTTGGCATCACAGAGAGCTGCGAGTTGGGAGGTCACAGCTTTATTTTGAAGGAGGCCAAGACTGCGAAGGAGATGGTGACGCAATCACTTAACTTCCCTGTCCCAATTTCTTATTGTATCATAGAATAGCACAGGGTTTTTAGCAGCACGGGGACGAGGTAAGGTCAACACTTACAAAGCATTCTGATACACTTGGATAGAAGACATTAGTGGTTGGAAGTGAGGTTTTTCCACTTGCTGCCATAGGGACCACCTCATTCTCTCCCCTCCTCCCAAAAGACCCCCTCATTGTCATTCACTCAATGCAAAGAGTTGTTTTTGCTTACTGCTGTACCTCTCCTGTAAGCTTCACTGAAAACACCCAAGTTCCCCAATATGCGTAAAAAAAAAAAATATGGAAAAGCAGGGGATTACACAAGAGCTTGTTAGGAATATTCACACATTAACACACAGTGAAGGCAGGTAAAGTATTTACTATGTTTTGCAGTATTTTATCACCTCATCACTCAAAACCCCCATACTTTAGGAAAGCATAATATCTACATACAGTCCGGAGCTTTTTGCTAGTTCAAGCATTTTGATTTGATAGGAAGGTACTCATTTTCCCACTTTGAATCTTTGTTCTCACACTCACAAAATGCCTCAGTTGTTCCCCTCACCGCGTTTTATTCCGGAGGTTAGCAGTTACTCTGCACAGTGAAAGAGAACAACAACATTTCCTCCCCTGAAATCAGATTCACAATCAGGAAGAACACGGGAAATTAGATTGAATTTCAGGAGGCTGGCTGAACCTAAGAAGTTTTCAGGGAAATGATGAATTGCCCTACACTGCAACCTGCCAACAAGAATGGTATTGACTTCTTTAGGCTCATCATGCAGTTGTGAGGCATTGTCACGGGGGAAGATTACAAAGAAAAACAAATTACAGGGGGTTTCATAACACAGAAAAGTGGCTTTTCTTTCATTACACTTCAGTATCTTTAAAAACTACAGAGAAAAAAGATGAAGGTAGAATTAGAACCAAAACAGATAATAAAAACAATACACAATGGTGTGTATAAGCATAGATTTGAAGCCATGGCATTCACCAACTTTCTATACTTTTAACTTCTAAAAACTGAATTTTATGAAATAGGCATTTTAAATGAATTATAAATGACAGGAAAAGATGAACACGGCCAACGTACATATCTTTAAAAACTATCAGACTCCTGTATCTTTCAAAATGGAAAGCAGCAGATGCTCCACAATGCTGACTGCTCTTCACCATTTGAATCACAGAATGCACGTATATGGCACGACTCAATGCCTCCATACATAAGGAACACAGCAACAAAAATATCAATTACAACCGAGATGTGCAAGTAACTTTTTACAGAAAAGTCTCTGGGCAATGAGGGAACTAAAAATATGCTGACATACTAATAAGCTGCTATTTGTGCTCTGCTGATAGCGGTGGGTTTGGGTTGTTTGGTTTAGGGTTGGGTTTGGGTTTTTGGGGGGAGAGGGGCGATCTGATCTCATTCCTAAACACTTCTTTCTACCATGATTGCTGCTTTTTGTCCAATTAATTTAAAAGCTTCCTCTTGAAAAGTATTTCCTCTATCCACTCTCCAACACGCATGATTTTGAGGGTTTTAACCTGAGGCTTCAAACTCCCTAAAAACATAAAACGTTTGACAGAATCTTTTTCACATTTACATCCTTCATTGCACAGAAATTCCTAGACATGCTATTTTGTCAGCCAGCTTTCTAAATATGTATGTCATTTACAGAGCAGACTATGCTCAGAGGTGTCAAAGCGCCAACTTCTGTGGTAGACTATTTATTTTAGAACCATGTGCACACAAAAGAAGTGTCCCCTAGTTCATAAAGTGTTACTTTTTTTTTTTTTTACACCTTTACATATGAAAGCTGCAGATAATCACATGCCAAATTCAGACTTGCAGAAATCACAGAAATGGCAAGTGCTTTAAAGTGTCTTTCTGTCAGCTCCCTGTGCTACGAAACTCCATCCTCCCCTTAAATGAAAATATTGTCTATTGCTGCAGTACTCAAAAAGTACTCATTTGGGGTTTTGTTGTTGCTGCTGTTTTGGTTTTTGTTCCTTTTAAAAAACATGAATCAGTTTTGGACATTCAACAAGAATTAGACAAAATCTGTAAACGGATTAAAGCATCCCAGTTCACACGCATCTGGTCAACTTCCATTTAAAAATGAGTCTCTCCTTTAAAAGGGGAAAAAAAATAATCTTGCAGGTTCTCTTTAATATGAATGTACTGATTTCCACAGCATTTGTGACAATTCCAAGGTGCCAGTTTTCTTTCAGAACACACTTGAAAATAGTTACTGCACATTACAAATCACATCTTAAGAGATTCCACATTCTCTTCCTGGGGTTATGACTAACCAAATTGTGCAAATGATCACAGATGTCCTGCAGATTCTCTCAGAGGGATTTAAACAGTATCCTTCATTACTTGCCCTATTTAGATACCATGTTAAATCACAACTAGCTTTGGAAACAATATACCAAATGCTGGAGATGACAGATGGGCACGCTGGAGTCAGTGAATAGTAGCTATTTCCAAGAAACAAACAGCAAAATAGAAACAAGGAAAAGAACATATTTCCTTTCAAACATATTTTCAACAACGAAGTTTTTCTATCAGGAAAAAAAAATATCATGTGATTAATTCTAAGCTACCAAATTCTTTGTAT